AAAATCCATCTCTACTAAAATACAAAAATTAGGCCGGTGTGGTGGCATAATGCCTGTAATCCCAGCTACTCAAGGAGGCTGAGGACGGAGAATCGCTTTGAACCTTGGAGGTGGGATTGTTAGTGAGCCAAGATTGTACCACTTGTGCTCCAACCTGGGTAACACAGGGAGACTCGGTGCACAAAAAAAATTAAATAATAAATAAAAAAATAATAAAGTTTAAGTATGTTATACCAGAGTAACAAATCAAAGCTCAATTTGCACATACTCAGGCAAAGCTAAATCTGCCACAGATTATTTCTGAATTCTAGGCTATCAAGTTTCTTTAAAATCAATTGTCAGACTCATCCTGATTCTCGAAATGTTTATATATATCTTTTCAAGGGCTTGCTAGAATCTGGAAAATACAGTAGTGGTACCTCCATTTTATATATAATGAAACTGGTTTGTGGAAGTTGAATAATTTTATCAAAGGGCATGTGGCTATTAAGTAGAGAAAGGAGGATTATGCTCAAAGTCTGACTGATTCCCAAGGTATGTGTCTGTGACCACTATCATGTACCATCTGTCTTATGCAGCTTATTCACATGGTCTATGGGCTCTTTTAGAATGTTTATAATTTGGTTTGTGATGCTAAGGTGTGCAGGATTGAGATTACGCCCGGCTGAAGAGTGGGGCAAGGGCAGGGAGTCATCTGTGACTGAGCTCTAACTGATTATAGTCATCAGCCCAGTATTCCCAAATTCTGTTTTTTAATAGGAAGCTGTGAATCTGGATTTTGAAAGAACATTAAATCTTGGTAACTAATTGAAAAACAAAACAAAACTTTTGTGGCTCATAGAAAAAAATGTCCCTGTATCTAAATTGGCCCTTGATTTACTAGTTTGTGACTTTTTGTTTAAACAACTTACTTTGGCTGGGCATGGTAGCTCACACCTGTAATCCTAGCACTTTGAGAGGCCAAGATAGGTGGATTCCTTGAGCCCGGAACCCTGGGCAACATGCTGAAAGCCCATCTCTACCAAAAAATATAAAAAATTAGTCAGGTGTGGTGGTTGGTGCCTGTGGTCCAGCTGCTCAGGAGGCTGAGGTCAGAGGATCGCTTGAACCTGGGAGTTCAAGACCAGCCTGGCCAACATGTTTCTGAAACCCCGTCTCTACTAAAAATACAAAAATTAGCTGGATGTGGTGGTGTGCCCCTGTAATCCCAGCTACTGGGGAGGCTGAGGCAGGAGAATGGCTTGAACCCAGGAGGCAGAGGTTGCAGTGAGCTGAGATCCCAGCCTGGGTTGACAGAGCAAGACTCCAATCTCAAAAAAAAAAAAAAAAAAAGGTAATGGGTGGGCATGGTGGCTCACACCTATAATCCACGCACTTTGGGAAGGCTGTGAGATGGGGTGGATCACGTGAGGGTCCAGGAGTTCAAGACAAGCCTGGCCAACATGAAAAAACTCCATCTCTACTAAAAATACAAAAATTGCCGGATGTGGTGGCATAATGCCTGTAATCCCAGCTACTCAGGAGGCTGGGGCAGACAGGAGAATCGCTTTGAACCTGGAGGTGGAGATTGTAGTGAGCCAAGATTGTACCAACTGTGCTCCAACCTGGGTAACACAGGGAGACTCTGTCATCAAAAAAAAAAAATAAAAAATAAATAATAAAAATAAATAAAGTTTAAGTATGTTATCACCAGAGTAACAAACTCAAAGCTCAATTTGCACATACTCAGGCAAAGCTAAATCTGCCACAGAATTATTTCTCTGACTTCTGGCTATCAAGTTTCTTTAAATCAATTGTCAGACTCATCCTGATTCTCGAAATGTTTTATATATATCTTTTCAAGGGCTTAGCTAGAATCTGGAAAATTACAGTAGTGGTACCCTCCATTTTATATATAATGAAACTGGTTTGTGGAAGTTGAATAATTTGATCAAAGGGATGTGGCTATTAAGTAGAGAAAGGAGGATTATGCTCAAAGTCTGACTGATTCCAGGTATGTGTCTGTGACCACTATCATGTACCATCTGTCTTATGCAGCCTTATTCACATGGTCTATGGGCTCTTTTAGAATGTTTATAATTTGGTTTGTGATATTTGAATTACACATATTGAATTATTTGTGTAATTTTCATTTTATCTTATTTCAAGCAAAAGCGTCCATATTACTTTTGGATGTATCTGTTTCTGTAGCTTTTTCTAGTAATAGGTAGTCTGTTGAAATAAGTGTTCTGCTACTTTCTTTGTCCTTTTAAATGATGCCTCCTTGACTTTTGGACCTGTCCAAAAAGTTTCCTCTACTGGTCCCATGACTACATCCTAGGCCTCATTGGGCAATTCTACATTGGAATATAACTGAGAGACCAACCATGAAGGGCCCTTTTACATTACATGAAATTGTTCCTGGACCAGAGGACCCACAGACTCATCCTCCTGGGCCAAACAAGAGCTTCCTGGTGGGGCCAGATCGAAACATCCTCTCAGGCGCAACTAAGCACACTTTATAAAGGCTTGGGATCTGCTCAGAGAGAAACTAAGGGTGGAAAGCACAAGGTGAGTGGCAGGGGCCAGAAACCCTCAAGAGAAACAAGGCCTATCTGGCAACGTGTGGGGTGTTGTGTGTGTGTGTGGTGTGTGTGTTGTGTGGTTGTGCGTGTTGGTGTTTCAGGGAACCAAGGCAGCTCCAGATGCAGCTGGGAAAGGGGAAATAGACCCCATGGGCCTTTTGGAACAGCGCGAACAGCAGGACAAACGAAGCCCAGGCGGGAGACAGCTTTCCTGCCGGCATACTAAAGCTGAGTTTGGGAAGGGAAAAGGCCATTCCTTTCAATGCTATGAACATCTGCGTCTGTCTGTCCATCCTGTCCCTTTCCCCCATGCTCCAATCCTGTCCTTTGAATTAGACCAAAGGCCAGAGAAGAGATAGGAGACAACGATGAAATGCCTTGTGGCTGAAGGTATATTTTTTCTACCTAGGCCACAACATCCTGCCCACTCTCAGCTATTAGGTTGTCGATTTAGGTTTTCAAATGGGCCCATGCTATTTGAGCCTGTCCTGGACAGGCCACACAGAGGCCTTCTGGCTGGCTGCCTGTCCAACTCCCGCTTGAAATAATGGATCCCTCCTTCAACTGTCCCAGCTCCCTGCCCAGGGGGAAAAGGCTTCCAGGAAAGAATGGGAAAAACTTAACACTCCCCAATTCCACACCACCCCAATCCTCAAAGTCCCTGCCTCAAAATGGAGGCCTTTTCTTTGAACTCCCCAGGCCCCAAAGAATCTGTCCTTTTCTGCCCATACCAAGAAACTCAGAACTAAAGAAGGTCATGCACAAGGAGAGGCGCTGAGAGATCATATGTCTGGGGGGTGACCTAGGAAGTCCTGCAGAGATGTCTAAGAGCCATGAGGCGGCAGTTGGGGGAGAAAGCAGGCAGGGACCCTCCTTGCCCCCCAAAATGGTTCTATCCCTTTCCTGTTTCTGTGTGGAATCTCCACTAAAGTTGCTAAAGAAACCAAAATACTTTTACAAATACTTTTTGTATTTTAATACACTTTTTATACTTTTACAAATTATTACCTTTTTATTTTTAGGATGGTTGTAGATTCATATATCACTTGTAAAAGTAATACAAAGAGACCCATTGTGCCCTAATATGCAGATTTCCCTCCATGAAGAAATTATAGCTTCAATGCCACAATTGCTAACTTGTCTCTTCAATCCTCTTAATAGGATCCTTCCAGCAGGCAAAAAGTTAGATTATGGATGGAAAGGTTCAATTTAGGCATCTCCGGTTTATGCCATAAACACCTGATACAGTGGAGACACAGAACACTACCCACCATCAACAAGCTGCCCCTTACACCAGTCCACTTCTCCTGCCCTACCCTTCCCGTCATCCTGCAACCACAACCTCTTCCTCCGTTTCTATTACTTTTTGGCCCTCTCAAGAAATGTTATAATAATGGAATTGCAGAGTATGCGACTTTGAGGACTGCTTTTGAAAATCACATCAGCATCGATTCTCCGGAGACCCTCCAGGCTGCCTGCATCATCAACCTCGTTCATTCCTTCTCATTGCTGCAGTGTTACCATTCAC